GTTGGAGTAGATGACGTCATTTACTCAATCCTTTTGTTCTTCCATCCTTTGAATCACAATTTCTCTGATGTGGGATAATTCCAAGACAAATAGTTTCCCGCAATTGTTTTTAATAGATATAAATGAGTCATATATTTGTATTGCTTGAAGTTTTGAAATAAGGCCATTTTCATGCAAGTAGCACTTTAATAGTTTTTAAAGTAGCACTTTAATATTTAAAATATATACCCACCATCTTCCTGCACGCTTGATTGTACTGTCATCAGCACCACATCTTGCAGCCCACTTTGCTGCTGATCTCCTGATACTATGTGTGGTATAATGCTTTCCAAAGCGATTTTTGCACATCTATGTAATAAAATGTATTTAGAATTTATTTAACAGACCTGAAATGCTTTATGCAGAGTAGTGTAGGTTTGAAAGCAAGATAGTTTGCAATACAACACTGCCTGACCCAAAAGAAACATACTTCAGAAAACCATTTGCGGTAGTAGGTAACCCCTCTTGCTGATCCAGCAATGACTTTCATGTTGTTTCTTGAAACCCTTGGAAAAATGAAACCTTTCTTGATACCTGTATGAAAACAATAACCATATTTAGTATTTCCACACCAAAATTAAATTCTTTAATGTTTTTATGTTTTACCACTGCATCAGAAAGGCAAAGTACTAAGAATATACTGCAATACTGAAATTATGATGTTTTTGATAGGTAGTTGATATTGTACTGTGCATTGCTTCCTATATTTTATAGCCAGTCAAAAACTGTGGCAGACTGTTTAGAGGGAATATACAAAATGCTTATTTTAAGTTACTATAGAGTCAAAGGAGTCAACATTGTCTGGAATATAGCTGTATTAAAACGAGAAAAAAGCTTACTAACATTAGATTTATGCAATTATTATCATATAGTGTCAAAAGAGAATGATGTTAGTTCCAACGCCAGACTTTCAAGTTCCACTATGATTTCAGTTTGTTTAAAACAGACACAGATTATTAAAAGCATCTAGATGGTTTATGACCAAAAAAGACATATAAGGAGAGCAAACAATGGCAAACCTGTTATTAAAAACCAAGAAAATAATGCTTTGACTGGGCATAATTGTGGGTTTATGGGGTTTGACCACAATGTCAATGTCACTCCTGAAAAACATGAATTACATGCAAGATGGATTTCAACTAACTAAAGTATATTATAGGGGTTACAACAATTCTCACTACAGGAAAATTACAGTCAAAAATCAATCTCATTGTCCTGTTCATACTCATATCAAAAAAAGATGTTGGGTAGCTTTTTAAAGTTTGGTTCTTTGAAAATGGACTATTTTAAAATATAGAGACAAACTATCTTGAATTTAATCTTCTTTTTGAATCTAACCTCCATTTGTGATCATTGATGAATGCCTCAATGCTTTACATTATCAACATTTTGATAAGAAATTCTGCTAGCCTTAATTACCTTTGGCCTTTCTGTCAGCTTTAGACCAAGGGATGCGTACTTCTAGTCTGCGAGGGAGTTTACCTGATTCAACTAAAGAGAAAAAAATAAGACAAACATTTTCAACAAAATACAGACAATGCAACCTTAGCAGGTTATTACTAGTATATAAATCACCATGAAAATCTTTAAACTTTCATTTTCTAAAGTCTCAAATCTTAGGCAAAATAGGTATTTAACAGGTTTCTAATATTTTTAGACCAACTAGTTCTTATATTACAAGCGGATTAGCACTGTCTAAGCAATTAATGTCAATGGAATGTCCATTAAGCCATAACATATTACATACATATTAGAAATGTGTTTTGCTTTGATTGTTTTGCATGCTTTACATGCCATAGAAAAAAATAAAATGTGAAATATATGTGAAACACATGTTTTTTGTTTGGTTGAAAAGTGAAAGGAATTTTTTCAACAGAGTTTTTGTAACCCCATACTTTTTTAAGCAACATAATAAAATAATTTTAAAAGTTTGAAAGCAAAAACTGATGTAATATGACTAGCTCAAATAGGATCTGAGATAGATTTCAAAGAATGAAAAATAAAAAAGTTTGACTATCATGTGTTTGATCAGTAATATTCAGATCAACTGGATGCACAAAAGATCATGTTTTGCACTACAGTGTATATGGCATTCAATAGATTATTAAAGTAAAACGGCAATCAATATAAAAATCAAATCAATGAACATCTACCTGAAAAACTTTTTGGAAGACTTATGTGCTTCATTTTTAAACGAAGAGGCTCCTCGCTTCTCAAAAACAAAGCAAAAGAAAATATAATGACATTCCACAGCCATAATCCTCTAATTCCCTATAAAATAAAAAACAGAATAGACATTCACCATTTAATAACATCACCTTGGTTTGAAAATAAGATATTTTTTGTGGTATTTGCATGCAAAATGATTCTTAAGTAATTATATGTCTGCTATAACTGCATGATATTATATAAAATAAAAGTATAGGAATCTATGCAGCACCTTATTACTTTATATCATGTATAATATAACTACTAATAAGCTTCCTTAGGATGGGTCTGTAGTATTGTTAAATAAATAAATAAATAAATAAATAAATAAACAAATAATACATGAAGTGCCTGTAATTTTTACAAATAGATATTGTTGTATTATTATTGAGATTATTTAGCCTAAAGCTATACCTCATATGATTTCAGGCAATAGTTTCTCATGCCTTGTAGTTCTTCTATTGTAAATGGAGGGGCCCTTTTAGGTTCGTATGGTACTCTTCCTTTTTTCGTGTCTTTAGTTGTTGGCCTCTTTGCCCTTTTAACCAGCTGTTTGTTGGTTTCTTTAACAGCTGCAACAATACCATAAAGGCAAACATTTATTTAAAAGGTTAAACAAATCCAGCAACAAAACATTCTGGTACAGCAACAAAACATTCAGATTCTGGTGTAAAAATTATTGTTTTCCACTTCCACTGATTTTTCCCTATTTATCGTTTTGCATTAATACCTAGAGCATTCATGGGGTTACCACTTGGTATTAGGGTCTGTTTACCCTCACGTATTTCTACATTTTCACTGTAAGGTCCAGAGTGTCCAAATGCCTCAAACCAGTATCTAAAGGCTGCTGTGTGGCCTTTAATTACTGGTGGCTTCAATCCTCGGCAACGTAAAGATCCAATCTTCTTTCCTTTTACTTCTCCAAGAATCTCTAAAATAAACAAATTCAAACCTTCTTATTAATAAGTAAAGAGTCAATTTTCCAAAAGGCCACGGTTTGGAGTCGTCCGCCATATTGGATTTTTCCGAGAAGCACAGGTAACTAATCACGTGCTCGTGATCACCGTTTTTTTGTATTCAATCGCTTTTTCGAGTATCACTATTCCTTTCGAAGCATTTTTTTTTGCGTCAACTCAAACTATGTGTTCCATACCAAAGGGGTTAGTCTTTCCTTTCGAACACACGTTTTGCGTCAACTCAAAATGTGTTTTTTATA